TTCTACACCTCGGTCGGGGTCTTGCAACGTGATGCCCCACTGAAACAAATCTCACCGGATATTCCAGTGTCTGCCTGGACGGGTAGGCAATTTATAACATTTGTTGTATCACTCTTTAACCGCGTTGGTCTCGCAGACGATCAAATAAGACAAAACGAAGAGAACTTGAAGAGTACGTCAAATGTTCTCCTCAATGGTTTTACTGGATATCTTCTCCTTCCCAGAATTCTCAAAAGAAGTTGCTGGTGACATTGTCCAAACAAGCAAGGTCATTGATTTTCTTTTGGACAAACTGCCTGGAATCAAGTACACCGAGGATGAACAGGTGTGTGCGCGCGCGCGTGTGTGTGTGTGTGTGTGTGTGTGTGTGTGTGTGTGTGTGTGTGTGTGTGTGTGTGTGTGTGTGTGTGTGTGTGTGTGTGTGTGTGTGTGTGTGTTTGGCCCTTTTCTCGTTGTCTCAACATATCATTTGTTTATTTCTTCAAGATCGAAAGACTTCAAGCACTAGAGCTAGAAAATCGTGCTGTTGGTGAACAAGTGGAGAAGGCATTGGAATTTGCAGGTTACATCGCTAGTGACAAAATTTCGTGTGGTACTTATTAACCAGGACTTTCTCTTCAATAGAATCGCTACTTGCTGATGTGCGAGCAAGCATCCGGCTGATTACAGAAGAACAGTTTGAATACCAAAGAAACAGCAATCTCTAATAAACAAAACGAAACCCTGAATATACTACTGTGCCACACGTGGATGAATCGCTTGTGCCTATTTCAACGCCTGTCGCTGTCGAAATACTCGAAATGCAACGCTCGGATACATCGGCACTGCTTCATTCCACCAGCGAACATCGCTACGCTCAAGCACACTCGCTGGACCAGCTCGGCGGCGGCATCGAAATCTCAAAAGGCTCCAGATGGGAAAGATGCGAAGGACACGAACAAACCTTATCGAAAGAAAGCGGACGCGAATTTCATTTCTAAATCTGTATATCCCCAGTTCGTTCGAACGTTTTTCCAAATGTTTCGACAATGGAAGGAAGCAAAATCCGACCGCAACGAAATCGCACTGAAGACCTTGGACTTTTTTCGACGATCCCAGCCCCCGATGTTCATTCCAGACGAACGGATGACCACTGCCATGGCGAAGCTGTTGATCAGCACACGGCAATGGGATGGGCTTATTCGGCAGGTGGTTATCATGACAGATCTTGGCCACAAAGCAGATCAGTTCTTGTTTAGGCTGTTGGATACCGTACGAAATAAATATCCGCGGGTATGGAAGCGAATGGAGGGAACCATTACGAATTATCTGGTCAACGTGTATGGTTATGACTTGAGCCGGGTGCCTCTAGTCGTCGCGATCCGACATCAATGTTGCAGGGAATTTACAAATGTTGATGATCGATTCGAGCTTGCCATTTCAGAAGGCAACACCGTTCTCGCTCGAGAGATATTAGTGGAGTCTCTCGATCGCTTTCAAAACCGCATTGTGGCTGGCGGAGAAGCTACAGAAAACGACACGAAAGTTCAGTTTGCACGAGATCAGAGCAGAAGCGAAATGATTCAAAATTGCTGGAGCATGCTTGTCCGCCTTTTCAGGGAAATGATCAGCGAGAAGCAGTATGAATCAGCAATGGGGCTTCTGCGTGAGAGCAGCGTAATACAAAATTACGACTTAGGGATTCGCGAACTTATTTCCTGCTGTGATTGCATAACAATCGCGGAGCAAGTTTTCGCCTTTTTGGAGCATCGCAATTGGGTATCGACCGGCACGTACAACTGCTTTCTGGAGAAGCTCCTTAATGAGAAGAAAGAAGTAAAACTGAGTCAATTCATCGAGCGAATGACCAAAAATGGATCTCAGCCGGATGCCCAAACTTTTCGAGCATGGCTGAAGACTGTAAAGCACTCACGCGCCGAAGCTGCTATCGAGGATCTCGTGAAAGAGCTGAGGATATCTGCGTCGGAATCTAACACCGCAACATCATCATCACTTCTTGAAGCCCTGCTGGACTACTGCCTACGCCGAAACGATACGCGTCTTGCCTCTCACATGCTTGACACCATTAATCCAACCAAGACACACGCCCCTTTGATCCAGGAGCTCATTCACAATAATTCCTGGAGACAAGTCAGCTCAGTATACTTGCGTCAGCTCCGCCGACATCTGATGCGCCTGTCACAGAGTTCCGAAGGTCATGACGCGGCTGCTAACTCTGCAATTTCGAGTATGTTCGCATCGGGAGATGTACACGCCATCATGAACCATCTCAAGCGCCTCGCAATTGAAAGCCCCCGCGCTCTTACACCTCGCGACACAGATGGTCTCCTTGCAATCCTCAGCGAACGATCCATGATCCACGAAATGGACGAGTTCTACAGCTGGATGCAACCGGCCGTAACACCCACAATAACGACCTACAACATCCTTCTCCGTGCTTACCTGAGCGTCGATCAAACCAACCGTGCGTTCCGAGTGCTGAAACGAATCCTCGAAAGAAACGTCCAGCCCAACTCCCGAACCGTGGACCTATTTGCACAGTTCTACGCCAAAACAGACCCTTCCAAATCATTGAGGTACATGAGCTGGTTTGAGGAGCGAGGTGTGAATCTCCAACCTTTTGTATTCAAGAACCTTGTTCGGACCCTGGTGGAGCACGGGGAGTTATTTCAAGCGCTCCACGTGCTCGAACAGCTAAAGTTCAAGGGAGTCAAGAATCTCACACCGGCATACAGCGCTGCGATCGAGGGTGCGTTCAAAAAGGGTGAAGTGTCGATGGCGGAACATCTGTGTAACGAGCTCCAGCTGATCTGCGACCGTTCTGATGACAACTTGGATCCGAATACACTCGCGATGCTTGTGCGCGGGTACGCTTCCGTCGGAAACGTCGCGCGTGCCACGAAGTTGCTACTGAATGCCAAAGCTGCTTCTGGTGTCACCCCCCGAATATCAATCTACAACACTGTGCTTTACGCTGCGACCGAGAAGCGAGCGTGGAGGACGCTGGAGGACGTGTACGTGAACATGATCGAGTGCGGACGCACTTTAGATCGAGGCACCTTCGTCTGGCTCAGCACGGCGCTGGCCTCATGGACTCGAAAAGAGGCCGTCGCGACCATGGTGCGAGCGGACGAAACGCTTTCGGAGGATTCCCAAGCGCTCAAGAGGATGCTTGCGAGGTTAAGATCCGATAACCCCGCGCCGGTGGGTTCGAACCAGCGCGCACAGCTGCTCCTCGAAGCAGAGAAGATCGGCGGGCTTCTGGAGGTGATTGCAGCGTTCCGTGACACGCCGAAGGAGAAGCGCACGGCGAGGGTGTATAACGTCGTGATGTCGATCGCGAGCGCTGCGCGGGAGTACGGGACGATCGTGTCGGTGTTTGAGGAGATGAAAGGAGACGGGGTGGCACCGGATGAGATGACGATGATGTTTGCTATCGAGGCACACGCAAGGTAAAAAAATGGAAAACTAAAGCGTTTCCCTCTTTTTTTGGGGGGGAGGGTGGCCTGACTTATTTTTTGAAAACGCAACAGAGTTGGAAAAGTTGGAGAGGCGTATGAGCTTCTCGACGGGGCGAAGGGAACCCTTCGGGACGCAATGCCGCCACAGATCATTTCGGCGCTGATGAACCACCACGCGGATCGCGGGGAGTGGACTGAATGCATGGCGTTGGTCCAACGAATGCATGATCACTCGGTTGTTCCGGACACGGTGGTCTACACCACGCTTATGAAAGCGTATGCCTACGCGGGGTTGTTCGATGGGTGTCGCTCTGTATGGGACACACATCTGCGACCGTTGAAACCGCCGCATTCATACGACGACATTGCTATTGCTGTGTTTGCGGACGCATGCGGGAAGTTCGGGAGCCCTGAGCTGGTTATGGAGACATGGAAGGCGGTGAAGCAGGATGATGGGTACAGGTGCGGGCCGACTGCGCTGGGATCCATCGTGAAGAACTTGGTGCTCGCTGGACGTTGTGGGGATGCCAAGGATGTCATGGAAACGGAAGGGACGAGACATGATGCGTGGGTCGTGAAGAAAGTGTTGAAGAGGGTGGTGGTTGAGCTTTCGCGGTCGGGACGTGATCGGGAGGTTCAAATGTGGGATGAGTGGATCGCTGAGAGGACGGAGTTAAATAAATTCAAAAGCGACAATTGATATTAGTGGGTTCGATTCAGGAATTTGCCAAACAATAAACATGTGATGGCATTTCAAGTTTGTACCTGAGCCTGACGCAAACCACCAATTAATCAGGACAATACAATTGTTGGAAAGCCCATATCCTCCAAGTTCCAATGGCCCTTCTGCATTTTCGTGAAGCCTTCTGCTCCATCACTCCACACCGCCAACAGCAGCCCCCCCGCCCCACAGTGGCGAGGTCTGCAGGGGTGAAATGTGGTCAAAGGCAAAACTATTGTATCCCAAAAGGGAGCTGGTGTCGCTGTATCACAATCAGCACAATATTCCCTGGTGTTAATCTGTTCCGCCCTTCTTCGGTGCAACAGGATACATATTGCATTTGGGCCGAGCTCAAACAAATTGGTTACACAACCAGGTCAGCCTGAAAACCCGCAGCTAGGCAGAGCTCTTCAACCAACCCTGACAACAATAAAGTGTAGCTCACCGACCAGGAAGAAGAACCCATTAGGGCGAAATTAATATGTTTGTTTTCCCTTTTGGGAATTGGCAGATCTCAATTACCTCTGACAGTTGCACCGATATCTGCCACTCCAACCTCAAGATTTGCTTCTTTGACACCAAAATCCTGCAGATTGGACTAAAATTGAGCAAAATCGATCAATTTGTCGGCCCAACGCAATTGTGCAGGAAAAGAACTTCTGAAACATTACAACCTCCGGCGGCAGGGAAAGAATTTTCAAGCCATTACACTGATTGGCACACATATTCAACCCATCCAGGATGCATCGATTTTATTTCACCATGATACTATGAATAACACCGTAATAGTACGAAGAATGGAATCTACAACTCTCTGTCTCTCAGTCCGGGAATCGAACCCGGGTCTTCTCCGTGACAGGGAGAGATACTAGCCACTATACTAACTGAGTTAAATTTTTTGGATTAGGTTTTTATTTATGTTTTTGACCTGAGCATGTTCGTCTGGGTCTGTTCAATCACTTGAGCAACGTCAAGTTGCTGTAGCAATGTCTGTTCACAAAAGATTTGCTCACTTTTTGCGAATAACTCATGATCCTGCAGTTTTTCATTATCTTCATTCTAATCTTCCTGCTGCAGACTTTGAAGCTACTGTTTCTTTAGCCCGTTCTGTTAAAACCAAGGGCTTCTCCTGGCAGCGGTAGGGCGTCTTTAGCTGTACTGTAGCTAGCACAACAGCTCCAGGTTCCGTCTCTTGGCCCAGTACCTGTTCTCCCAGGTGTGTATATGCCTAATACTCCGACAGGCTGTACACTATACCCAAGCTGGTCAGGCAACCAGGGAATGCTGTGGTCAAAGACATTGGTCACATCAACTCCTATATTCAAGTGAACAGTGCCTGTGGGCAAACCTGTGGTCAAAGACATTGGTCACATCAACTCAAAGGACCAAGCCACACCATATTCCCCACTAAATGCCAAGATCACTCCACACAGGACCTGCCAAACATGGATATAAATACATGAAATACAAGTCCATAAATAAGAACGAAGAGGGATTGACAAAAAAACTCTCAGGTCAAAGAGAAAAAAGACAACCCAAGGATAACCCATATAGCAAACAGTCTGATATGCTAGTTTTTAACAGATTCATCGCGTTCAGAACCTACTTCTCGTAATCAATGTGGACTTTTCGTGCTGCAACCTTCAACTGTAGAGGTTTGCCTATGGATTTTTCAGATTTACTTGCTTGGCTTGTTACTCATCATCTTGATTTTTTAATTTTACCAGAAACTCATCCGTTAACTTTCGAAAGTGTTTCTTCAGAGTATTTATTGTTTGATTCTCGTCCTCCACCAGACGCTCCTTTGGCATCTGGTGTTGCTCTTCTTATTAACCCGCATCATGGCAGTACTTATCAATTTAGGTTGATTGCATCAGTTCCTTCTGGGTTTGGTTTGTGGTTTAGGTTTGGTCAGGTCGTGATTGGTGGATTTTTATTTTCCCCCACGTTGGACTGCAGAAGATTGTTTTGGTGCATTATCTGATTTTCCTCAATTTGTTTCAAATTCGGATACACCAGTAGTTTTGATGGCAATGTTAGAACTCAAAGCACTTCTCCCTTTTTTTACAGCTCACTCACTTTCATTGGTTGTCCCAGCTTCTTCTCCACCTCGGCGCCCAACTTTTCGTTCTCACTTAGGGAGTTCAATTATTGATTTGTTTTTTGCTCTACTTATGTGACAGCTTCTTCATATTTAGTGCATGATCAACCCCAGTCTATTGCTCCCCATCCTTCAGACCATTTTGCACAATTCTTCTGACCCTCTTCTTCCTTTTCTAAGAATTCGCCAACGTGATAGTCACAAAGCATTCAAATCTGCTCTGAGATCACACAGGTATAAGACAAAAGCAAATTTTTTTGATGACCCTAGTTCTTCATCAATGCCTTCTCTTCTGAAACACGTCTCATGCTCGGCGCTGTGCTAACTTTCGTACTTCAGCTAAGGTTTAGATTTTGATCCTCAGTTGTTAGCCAAATATGCTGATCATTTTGCTAGTGTCTACAATGCTCAGGCTGCAGACCCGGTTTCACCTTCACTTGTTCTGTGTGATTTTCAGCTGCCATTGGATGTTGAAGCTTTTGTTCTAGCTATTAGGGACTGCCATTTGGAGTCTGCCCCGGGTTATGATTGTCTGCCTGCAGAACTTTATCGCCCAATTTCAGCTATTCTTGCTCCATTGTTTTTGCAGCTTTCTCAGTCTATTTTCGCAGTAGTCTTACGCCCACTTCATGGGCACCCAGTTTGGAAGCTAGGTGGTATGCTTGGTGACATTACTCATTATCACCCCATTACTCTTTCGTGTGTTGCCCGAAAGTTTTTGAGCAAGCTTTGTTGCCACATCTTTATTCTGCTATCACTTCTCAACACCCACTTGATGCTGCCCAAGCTGGATTTCAGTCACACCGCTCGGGAATGGTATGTGTTTTTGGTCTTCAGGCATGTATCTCCCGTGCGTCTAATGCCAAGGTTCCTTGGGTTGCTGGTGTTTTAGATATTCAAGCAGTTTATGACACCACAAATCGTGCAATTCTTTGGGCTGAGCTTCTTTCTAGGGGAGTACGGTTGCCATTTGTTTTTGTTTTGAAGTCTCTGTTTGATTTTTGTTCTTCCAGAGTGGTTGTTGCAAAATGTTTTTCAGATGCTTTTGAGTTGTTTAGAGATTTGTTTCAAGGTTCTGTTCTCAGTCCACTTCTCTATATCACTTTTCTTGATCCTCTGCCTGGGCTCCTCTGACCGTTTTCGCCTCCAATAACACTATGTCATCCTGCCAAACCACGATACAATTTGTTTTGTATTTGCAGATGATTTGGCTTTGTTTACACTTACTTTGGATGCTATGCAGGTTCTTCTCTCTGTTTGTGAACAGTTTGCCCAAGCTGGTGGTTTTTCTTTTGCTCCTTTGAAGTCTGTAATTCTCAAAAGAATTCCCATTCCTGCTCATTCGCCTTTGCTCCTTCATGGTCAACTCCTGCCTGTCAAGACTTCATTTCGTTATTTGGGTTGCTTTTTTTGGAGATACTGGAACGATATGTTTCACTGACTGTTTCCCGTCGACTTGCTGAAGCGCGTGCAGCTTCTTTGCTTGCTTTCTTTTTCAAGGATGTTTGGTTCTCATTCTCTGCTTGTGGTTCGTCGTTTGTTTTTGTCTTTTATTCAACCTACGCTTGAAATTGGTTTATATGTTATTCTTCCCTCTGGTACTGTTTGCAAACCAGTTCGGACTTTTATTCACCAAAGTTTGTGTCAATTTCTTCGCCTTTCATTTTCCACTTCAATTGCTGGGGTTTTGCTGTTTTTTAAGTTTCCTGACCTTCAGTTCCGGCTCCAATATCTGCAGTTTTAGATGTTTCAGCGTTGGTTGGCCCTGATATGGTTCACTCTATGCTGTCTAAGGTTCGGCGGGTCCGGGTCAGGTCCGGGTTTCAGTGGCGACCTGCATTAAACCCTTTGTGTCAGGTCGTGTTTGTCCAGGTCAGGTCACTGACGGGTAAGAAGGGAATACCCAGACCCAAAGTGGTTGAAACCCGTACCTGACCCGGACCCGCCGGGTTTTTGCTGCCCAGGAGAGTGTTGATTGAACTTGAGATAGAACACGGATATTTACATGAACACTTTGTGTCTGTGTGGACAGTGTGTTATTTAGAAACACTATCATAAAGAGAAACAAAACTCCACTGAACAATCACAAGTTGATAGGTGGAACAGCCCAAATCAGCTTCTGTATCTGGTTCATATTGTCAGAGTCCCATCCACCACTGGTTACGTCCTTTGCCAACCCAGTCCTGATGAACCGATCGATGTCGTCATTTGAAGGCATGAAATCCTTGGCTAAACCTGTCTTCCAAGGTTTCCAATCCACCACAGGGAGCGTGCGTTATGGACGAAAGATGCCCGATGTATGCTGTCCAGAACCTTAGCCACTCAGAAGGATATGCATCCACTAATGCTCTGAACATGCGATAGATAGTGGCAGACGTACTTAGCGAATTGTTGTGCCGTATCCAGTTTCTGAGCAAAATGTGCACCCTAAGAAGAGTAAGGCTGCTCCGAGCACTGCTACTTGAAGTTGATGTACGGCTTGAGTTCAACAAATATAGGCTGTAAGAACTCATTTCGGGAGAGGACTTCGTAGTTAACGCTGACGTACTTGATGGATGGTGGAAGAGACGGCAATTTAAGGTCATAAATAACCTCATTGATCTTATGCATCTGGAAGCAGATACCCTGGATGACTTCTTTCACCAAAAGGATAGCCGTACGATGGTGCTGCTGCAGGCTAAGCAATGCAAGGGAACTGGTTGGAGAACTGGTTCGATGTACCTTCGGAATTCTACCAATCCCCTTGATAGCCAACGAGATGCTTATTGGGTCGCCTGTTGATGTTGGCCGCAGGTGCTGCAGCTTCTGAATGACCAGCCTGTTGTTTCAGATCAGCAAGCTCTCCCTCCAGGGCGGTCACACGTGATTTCCTTTGTGAAATCTCCTGGGAAGCCGCCTGCTTCTCCCTTTCCATTGCAGCTGTGATCTCCCTGAATCTTGATAGCTCTTCGTGCTCGCCGTGCTGAATCAATGCACCCGCCCTGCCCAATTCATCAATGAGAGCCTTCTCTCGCACTTCTGCTGCGATGCGGGTCCTTCTCTCATTCATTGCTGTCTCTTCAAGATCTTTTGTCATGTTCAACAGTCGTTCTGACTGTTTGAGGACCTGTTTTGTCCTTTCACGGTCCTCATCTGCTCGTTTGATGGTCGCTTGGAACTCGTCAACCTTTGCACTGACAAGCATTCCTCTGTAAATGCCGTACTTGTGTCCCTGCCGCCTGTAAAAGTCCAGAAATGTTGTTTCCTTCTGCAAGGAAGAGTTTTTCAAGCACTCCATACGATAGGCGTTTGCTGCTGTTATGAACTCCGTTCGTCAACTGCATTCATCGTGAATTTCATTCAGGGCTTGACGAACTAGCTTGCTGTCAGAGTTAAGTCGGTCAATCAACCCTTGAAGAACAAATCTTGGGCCGCATTCATCACAATTTGTTTGACAGTTGCTGATGAAGTCCTCTGAGTCGTAGCTGTGGCTGCTTGCTTTGAATTTTTGATACCAAATTCGTATGTCTGAAGCAGGACAGAGTCCGTCGATGAGCAAATAGTCAGCATCCCCTTTAGTACCACGTCGCGCTGGTTTCTTTGAAGGAACTGTCTATTTGACATCTGTCAATTTGACATCAAGGCCTACTTCTGCTTCTTCCACTTCAGAACCTGTTCCCGGAGATGTTTCAGGTGGAGTCACCGGTTCTGCACTTGATTCTCTTTCAGATGATGGTTTGGATTGTTTCAAAGCTTGCTTCTTTGTAGTTTGAGGCATGGTGTTGGTAATGTTTGTCGTGGGAAGATACG